AATCTGTCAGACTCAATAAATTCCTCACACCTGGAAATCACATGAAACTGTTCCTTCTGCACTATTCACATTTAGTACTTCACTTAGTAATCACAATAGCCTTATGATTCTGTAGGCTACAGATGCCAAGTCCCTGTGAGCTGACAAAAAAATTAAAGCCAGGGTTACTCAGGAAACTTATTTACATAGAAAGTGCGGGTCTTGAACACTGAGGCCCTGCATGGTTGAATTAAACACAGTCAGCTGTCATGATGTAAGGGGAATTTTGAGTTTAGGTAATTAGTATGTGTTATATTATCACAACACAGCTACCAAATATTTAACATAGAGAAATATGAAAATAGGATTAAAAAATGTGGACCCCCAGATCTTCTATAGCACACCCTCAAAATACACACACACACACACACACACACACACACACACACACACACACTCACAAGCAAACCTGGACCACACCAGGGAGGAAGCAGAGCACTGGCTTCACTTTGACCTATGAACCTGAATACAGATTTGTGATGTTAACTGTAAATGCCTTTATACATAGAGTTACCAGCAAGAGAAAAGTGTTTTTATTTTTTGGGTGCTATTTTCAAGTAAACTATGTTTATGTTATATCCTAGAAGTCATCCCCCTAAAACCAAGAAACAGAAACACAAAAAAGGAGGAGGCAGCAGCAGCGGAAGGGAAGGAGGGAGAACACCTCCCATTGTGCCCTCTGTAGCTGTCTTTCAGCACAGACTTGGCACCATGATGCTCTTCAGATTCAGTTCAGTGGGGTTTGGGAGTTAGCACAAAGGACCCTCAAGATGGCAACCACGTGTAAGGATCTCATCTTGATACCTTCTTCCCTTTTTTATTACTGTTCTCTGCCTTTGCTTTCTTAAAGTCAAATATAACTGAAGGAGTGGGGGTAAGGGCAACTGCTAGATGGGAGAAGAAGAATAAAAAAAAAATACTAGTCTGAATGCAGCTTAGCTTTGTGAATTCAAGAAGTGTGTGTTTGATAAATGAAGGTGCATAAGTTAGCATAGCTCCAGGGCACCGGCTTCCCTAGTGTTAGCATAGCTGACACACTGACAGTTTATATGGAATTTATGTGCCTATTTCCTCTGCTTTTTATGGGAAAACATGTTGTTACCTTACAGCTGCCCACATCACATGCCGTCGATCTGCCTCTGAGCCACAGAGCACCTTTCTCAAGGAAACATACATACATCAAGGGCTTATGCATTTTTTACAATGTTGTAAGGGGAAAATAATAAAATATGGGTTACTGTGTACACCATTCTGTGCTTTAATTTCTTTTATTTCACTGGTTTAATTGACTCTGACCATTTTTATTGCCCTTTTCCCCACCTCATCTTGCCATTTTAATTGTTTATGCGCTTGTGTACGATTGGATCGCATCTGGAAAAGGACAGGAGCTGTAACCACAACTTAAAAGCCAATTGTAGAGCTTTAAAAAGTAAATAAAGCATTTAAGCTGCCACATCAGTGGGAAGATATATGCAGATGTAAACAGAAGGAAATGTATGTTTTAAAGTAAAAACGCTTAAAAAATTGTCTCTTCCTTTCAATCACCTGTCAGAGCCCTGGATTCCTTGTGCTCTCTGGCAGATAGGAGGCAGTACAACAGGAATCATGGCAGGGCTCTCGTTCTGCCTCTTCCCTTGGACTATGAGGCACTCTGCAAGGGCCAGAGCCACGCCTTCACCTGAGCACACTTGAGACCCCCTCTTGCCACATTCCTAGAGCCTTCCATCAGCTACCATGATCCTCTCCCTGTGGCACTATAGCATTTCTTCCAAGAAGCATCTCACATCTCTTTGACCCTCTGTTTCTTTTATTTCAGTGAAATGATAGGCGAAAAAGAAACAATTTATATCAATTTACATATCCTCGAATTCTATACATTGAAAATATGACCTTATTATAAGTCAATCTTTAATTGGGCAGTGAATAAATGTAATGAGAGAGAAAACAATGCAAACAATTTCAAAAATCCAAAGCATAGGAGGCACTTCATTTTTTACAATAGACAGGACTGGCTATGGATCCTTCAAAAGATAATATATGATGGTGAATCTCAGAGGGATGGGGGATGATGGGAACAGATAACCAAAAAATTTATATGCATATGTGAATAACCCATGAACACAGACAACAGTGCTAGTGAAGGCCTGGGGCCAATGAGGGGGGAGGGGAGGAAGGATATCTGTAATACTTTCAACAATAAAGATAAAGGAAAAATCAATTATAAAAAAATAAAAAGAAATATAATTCAGCATTTATCTTGTCAAGCTCCCATAAATTCATCTGTTCTATATCTTTTGGGTTATCCCTGATTGTGGGTATAATTCTAGACAAGAAATTGTGAGGGAGATTTTCACTTAAAGGAGAAATATAATATATGTAAACTTAGTCTTTTAATGGGTAAGTTGGACACTGAATGATGTAAAGAATTCTCTCATTTCTCTACTGTGTGTGCATGTGTGTGTGTGTGTGTGTGTGTGTGTGTGTGTGTATGTGTCTTTAATATCTCTGCTTGAAAATCTTGCCATGGTGAGTGCCCAGAAGTGTTTTATTTGGCAAATTCTTTCAGCAGATGGAGATTTTAGCTCCAAATACTGTATACCTCCCCCCAAGACTCCCTTGTGGAAAAAATACTGTCTAAGTATAAAGAAAGAAAATTCATAACCTAAGATACTAGCACAAGAAGCAGTACTTCAAAGACACATGACCTGAGCCTCCCACAAAATGGCCACTGATATTTCCTTTCCTCTTAGGGTGCCCAGAAAATTATGGCAAAATCAATATCATCTAACATTTGTTCTTCTCTCTGTAATGTTCTATCCCCTAAAATGGCATGTCACCCTTCTTTAGTTCTCTGTACCAAAACTGGGAGAAGGCAAAATTACTGAATTAACACATAGATAAAGAATCTGGAATAATAGCAAGCAAACAGATGTTTTCATGAATTGAGTTGTCCATTTCATGATATGGCCTATTCATTGTTGTGTCCAGCCCATTCTAGATTTGGTCACCTTGCTAACTCATTGTGGGGAAGCATTAGAACTTGGTTGGCAAGTCTGTAAGGAGGATTCTCTGAAAGGCCAGAGTCCTCTAGGGGACCTTGCCGAAGGTGGCAGCCCCTGCCTTGACTTTTCCAGACAAGTCTGAGTGTTTTACTGGAATTTTTATGTTTACATTTCAAAATGTCCTTGCTTAAAGGACACATGTGTTTTCTCAAGGATGCTTATTGTGCTGCTAATATCTAATAGTTAATTCTAGTCCAAGCTGTTGTTACAATAAAAGCCTAAGGAGGCAGGTGAAAGAGGCTACTTGGTAGTGAAAGACAAGTAGTTCCTTAGTCCTCTCTTTTACAGAAACTTGTCAGAGTAATCTTTCATCCGTTGTTCAAGGTCTGCAGGTCAGTCCTGGCAACTCCTATGCTGTCTCCACATGGCAAAAGCTCTCTTTAACCCTGCCCACCAGGATTCCTCAAAGTTGGCATCAAGTCAAGAATTCCAGGTCCATCTGCTTCAAACATATGAGATCCTATCATATGGAAGAAAAAACTGACCAGCTTTGTTGAGTTCTGGTATATGAAATTATGATCAGTGAAAGTGACATGGGGTTTTAGTTCAGCCAAGGATGAAGAAAAACTTTCTAAAAAGCAGCTCTGGGTTATATAAAATGAGATACGTTAAAGTCTGAAGCAGAGCTTAAAAGACCAGCAAAGACATAGAACACATAGGGCTGGAGTAGTTTAAAAAGTTGCCAGGGGCAATCACTCCCTCTTTATCTGAAGGTCAATGACTACATCATGATTTCAGTTTAAAATCAAGATTCTTAAAGACACAACTCCAAATGAGAAGCCCCCCCCCCCCCCCCCCCCCCCCCCCGCCCACTGATGTAACGCATCCTACTGTTAAGTAGAGATAGCATTTGTTGAATTCCAGATCTGAATGAATGTCTCAGGTGGGAATAAATGCTTGGAGGACTCAATTACCTGAAGCACATAAGTCTTTGTGATATCAGAGACAGAAGGGGTGGTATTTGTTCCCTCCTGCAGTTATTTAGATAATGTTTGGGATAAATTCTCAGTTTGGTTTTTATCTATTATTGGTTTTAGGTTTCATGTATGCTTATCCTATTTATAAAAGCGCCGTGTATGTCCTACCTTACAGCTCTCTCAGCAATGTTCCTGAGGGACAGAAAAATACCCTGCATTTTTCTTGCCTTACAGTTGTTCCTCCAAACCTGGAATATATACAAGAAGAAATATGACAAATGTAAGCCGCTCTCATGCCAACTTGCATTAATTTAAAGTGAAAAGCCAAAGAGATCAGAAAGTCTATGTACCAAAATGTGTACAATCAGTGCCACCTGACAGTAACACAGAAAGAACAGAAAACAACTTCAATTTCCTGCAACAAGGAATGTGATAAAGAGAACACCGTCCATGGCATGCATGTGTGTGGGCTTCTACTTCCATTAAAGGAAGGTATTCAACAAACAACTCACTTTGCTAGATTTCCCCCTTAATCCCCCACATTTAATCTAAAGAAGAAAACGATAAAAACGCAGAGAGGCAGATCTGAAAGGATTTCTAGCAAGTGTTTTACCCAACTTTCTCATTTCACTGATGGAAAGCCTGAAGTATAGGGCCGGTGAAACGTCTGGTCCACTGTTGCCTACTTTGTTAATAACAGAACCAGAACTTGGCAGCAGTCCACTGATCTTTCACCCATAACTGCCCTTAGGCGAACCACTGATGGCCTTCCCAGTGGCTGGAGTAGATTGGTGGTTTAATCAAAGATTGCTATTGAAGTTAATTCTGTGCATCTAGCATAGTGAATTACAGGTTTTAGGAGACTGAGAGCCACACATAGAAAGCAGCTTTTCATAGGATTCAAGTGTGCTTCTGGTGTAAAGCATACTGAGTTTTTTTTTGTTTGTTTTTTTTATGAAAAGAGAGACTTAATAAAAGGATAATCGCTTCTCAGCCTTATGGCTAAGATCAAGTGTAGTATTTGTCCTTATCAGTTTGTATAACCAAAAACTGCTCACGTTGATTGGATGCTTGCTCTGCCAATCTCAGTTTTAAATGTCTTCATATATTAACCTGAAGTAGTCCTCAATACAGAAAAATACAATTAATATAATTATTCCACTTTACAGACTGAGAAAATCGAGACTCAGCAGAGGAAGGAAATTGGGGGTGACTGGGCCAGCAAAGGAGGGCAGTTATGGGTGGTCAGGCCTGCAGGTAAGGGCATTTAGTGGTGACCAGGCCTACAGGGGAGGACAGTTAGGGGCAAACAGGCTGGCAGGGGAGCAATTAGGCATCAATCAGGCTGTCAGCGGAGTGGTTAGGGGGTGATCAGGCTGGCAGGCAGAATCTCTTAGAGGCAATCAGGAAGGCAGGCAAGCAAGCAGTTGGGAGCCAGCATACCTGGATTGTGAGAGGGATCCCAGATTAGAGAGGGTGCAGGCTGGGTTGAGGGACAACCCCCCACTCCTGTTAGCTGTAGTTTTTCCTCTCCCCAACTAAAAATAAAATCTGTATGAACATGGAATCTGTGTTACTCTTAGAGGTGTGAACAATCTTTAATATTGTAGAATCTTAATAAATATATGTTGATTGAATAAAGGAGTCAATTATTTAGTGGTTAATTTTTGGTTTTGGCAGGATGTAAATTGAAGAGAACACAGAACACATCATTATACCAAAATCAAGGTAATTTAAAATACAAACTATAAAGCAAAGCCATATATTATAGTGTAGATGTGTTCACCTCAGTCTTAGTACATGCAAAAAACAACAACAACACACACACACACACACACACACACACACAAGATTTTAATCCATTGGATCCAGCTGCCAAATAGTAGAGATTCTAAGGACAGAAGAATAGGTTGAATTATACCCATGTGTGTGCCCTCAGCATCGCTAACATAGAGGCCGTAGGAAACAACACATCAAATAAGCTAGATTTTCAACAGACAAATTATAAAGACAAAAAGGCATGGAGAGAGAATTTCTAGATCAAAAAAGACACATTTAATTAAAAAATAGGCAAGATTAACTTAAGTAACTTGAAGATAATGATACACATTTGGGTAATAAAAACATAAAGCAGTACATATAAGTAATTACTAAAAAATGACATGAAAGCTGTCACTTTTGGAGGAAAGGAAGGGCTCAACTGGGCCAAAACCCACAGAAGGGCTTCTGGGATGGATGACAAAATGCTCCATTAAATAATAATAATAATAATAATAATAATAATAATAAAATAATAATATATAGATAGATCTATAATAATAATATATATATCTATATAGATATATAGATATTATTTTATTTCAGAAAGGAAGGAAGAACAAGAGGGAGATAAAAATATCAATGCTGAGAAAGAATCATTGATCAGACACCTCCTGCAAGCCCGACTCTGGGAATAGAGCCTGTAACCTGGTTATGTACCCTTGACCTGGAATCTAACCATGACCTCCTGATTCATAGATTGAGGCTCAAACACTAAGCCATGCTGGTTAGGCACAAAGCTCCATGTCTTAACAGGGGTGGTGAATCGGATTATTGCCTTATAGTAAGTAACCACGTCATGCATTTTTTTTTTTGTATGTATGGATTGCTGTTTTATTTCACCACAAAATGAGAAAACAAAAAAGGCTTGGCTCCCAAATAGAGCATCCACACTTTAAAATGTCAGGTCACCCTGCTGCATCATCTGCTGTGTCATCTGCCTTGTGTGTTTGTCTTGAAACTTCCCATGAATGTAGTGAATTATGAATTTGGTAAATTCTGGAATTTCATCCCACTGCCTCATCACTTCCATCACATTCCCCTCTGCTTCACTTTCTACTCATCCATGAATTCAAGAATTATTCTATATGCTCAGTTCCCTGTCACATACTGCATAAGGAGCCTTAAAAATACACACAAAAAAACCAACAACACCTAATTTCCCAAAAAGACGAGAGGAGAGAGAGGGAAAGAGAGGGAGAGAGAGGGAGAGAGAGGGAGAGAGAGAGGGAGAGAAAGAGAGAGAGAGAGAGGAGGGAAGAAGGAGGGTTGAAAAAGAGAAGGAGGAAAAAACAAGAAAAATAATTCCCCATCTATATTGTGTCTTTGTTCAGTGGGGTCTTAATGAAGATCATTTTTTCATTTATTTTCCAAAAGCATAAAACTTTGTTCCTCAAACAACTTTAAGGATAATTAAAGCAATGATAAAATGTGTTTATTGATTCTAAATTTTCTCACAGGAGTGATTAATTGCATTTTGGACTTTGAGAAATTCCAAAGGAGATTACAAGAGAAGAGAATCTTGATCTTGGGCTGTGTTTGGCCTTTTAAAAAATTTTATTGTTGCTTCTTCTTCCTTCTTACTGTTATTAAAATTACAGCTCTGGATGCACAAAGACAGGCAGAATGTGACCAGTGATTTAAAGAATGACCCCCACTGTGTCACTGCACATCAGCAGACATTTTACAATGTGCTGGAGACACCCGGTCAATAATTTAGGAGAAAACAATCAATACATGAATGCTACATAAGCCCACAGCCAGACTACCTTATGGACATTTTGGCAGTTTCTCTAATGGCATGAAGTAATGCAATTAGAGGAATTTTCTTTCTTTCTTTCTTCCTTTCTTTCTTCCTTTCTTTCTTTCTTTCTTTCTTTCTTTCTTTCTTTCTTTCTTTCTTTCTTTCTTTCTTTCCTTCCTTCCTTCCTTCCTTCCTTCCTTCCTTCCTTCCTTCCTTCCTTCCTTCCTTCCTTTCTTTCTTTCTTTCTTTCTTTCTTTCTTTCTTTCTTTCTTTCTTAAATGTTCTTACTACTGCAACAAAATAATTTAATATGACTAATATCTTGATCTTCTGCTGGTAACCCATCAGCTGGGCTATAAAGTATGCATTCCAGAGCAAGGGTGTTTAGTTAGGGGAGAGAAAGAAGTAGATTCCAGAAGGAAAGATGGATTTTTCCTCCACTGGAACATCCCTGGATCTTTTCTGTGGCCTTAAGTGAGTGTTGGGTCACCCAAAGCAAGCAGGCTCCATGTGGTTAGGTAGCTAGGGCCCTTCTCTGTGTCATAAAAATAGTAACTTGCCAAAACCGGTTCGGCTCAGCAGATAGAGCGCCGGCCTGCAGACTGAAGGGTCCAAGGTTCGATTTTGGTCAATGGCACTTCCCCAGTAGGAGATGTGCAGGAGGTAGCTGATTGATGTTTCTCTCTCATGATGTTTCTAACTCTCTCTCCCTCTCCCTTCCTCTCTGTAAAAAAAATCAATAAAATATATATATTTTAAAAAGAATAGGAACTAATGATTTAGTGCCCTAATAATGTGGGACACTGAGGTAAGGCCTCAGATTGAATGCTCCCCACAATTCCAAGTAGAAGACACTGCCATAACTACTATGTGTAGGTAAAGACTCAAGGCTTAGAGGATTTAGGTGATTGGCCTCAACTAGAAAAACAGGAGCTCGAGTTTTCAACCCAGTGAAGACCTAGAAATACGAAGTGGCCAGTCCAGAGTCACACAGCTGCTTAAGTAAGTTAAAGCTTGAGCCAAGAAATCAAGGCTTTTCACACACATTTATAAACTTTCTTTCAGATGGCATGCCAAAATTAAATACCTATTGGTCTTAGGGTTTTTATGGGTAAAAAGTGGATATTAAATTGTTAGCACTGTGCTCAGCACACTATAGTTACACAATTAATGTTAGGTATTATACTTTTTAGTAGTATTTTCAACTTTGTTGTAAATACATTAATTGAGAAACAAAAAGGGTTTAAAAATAATATATGATAATAATGTCAGACAAAGTTAAGACATAATTTCAGAATTATGTGCACATATAATAGCTCCTGACTCAGTAGCAGCACTGCATCCTGCCTTGTTTTGTCATGATACCATCAGAAAGAAAATAATTGATCCCTTCTGTAAAGGGACTTACCTTCTGGCCCAAATCAATTTTTAATCTGAGTATGCCTCATAACTCCAATAAATATAGATCTCCAATATCTTTTGGCCAATGTAGGCTAAAAGCCTTTGAAGGAAGTTCACCTCATGTCATACCCACGATTGTATTATATCTCTCTGAATTCTCTGTTTCAAACTCTGAGAGAGGTTGCTAGTACAGTAAGCCTTTGGTTTCTACCAAAACAACTCCTTCAGTGGATCCCTGATCCAAAGGCCACTTCCAAGGAGCAAACTGCATGAATCATTCCAGAAAAAACATTCACCCACACTTCACCTGCCCCAGTTGGCATCATTTTCCTGTGGGTAAAACTGGGTCAAATAAAACTCATGGGTAGATTATGGAGTGTTGCTCTAAGGTGGGCAAGAAAATGGCAGTCAGCCCTGCAGTTATGGTAAAGATGGTATTCATTGTCTTACCTCAGTATGCTGGTGCAGGCAGGGCAGGGCACACAGCTGCAATGTGTTATTAGTCCTTTTTCAGTTTCTGCAACCTCCTCATGAAGTTCCCTATGGTGACATGAGTATTCTTAGGTATGGCTCCTCAAAGGGACCCCCTGCTGCAGATGGAGTTGAACCTTTCTGAGCTGCCCCATGCTGCATATGAGCTCCAAATAGCTGAACTCAGGAACCAGATACACCTGAATCTAAATCAATTGGTCTGACTCCCCTCTTTACAGTGGAAAATGTGTCCACTCTTTCAGCTTGTGCAAAAGAAAGGCCTGGATCAGCTGCAGGGCTCCCTGTAGTCAGGAGACGCTTATGTAACTGGGTGAAGCCAAAGGCAGTCTCTCCCTAAAGTGGGGACTCTTTCCACTTATTCTCTTTCTTAGTTTGTCCCACTTAGCCTTTTGAAAGGGACATAAGTGAAATAAGCCAGGCAGAGAAAGACAAGTATCACATGATCTCACTCACAAGTTGAATCTAATAAACAACATAAACCGATAAACAAAGACGTAGAAGCTCTGAACGGACAGTCAAACCTCAGAGCAAAGGCAGGGGAGGGTGGAAGGGTGGGAAGAGATCAACCAATAACGTTATATGAATATATGCATAACACAGAAACACAGACAATAGGCGGGAGTAGGCTGGGAGAGTTCAATGGGGAACATAGGTAATACTTTCACAATAAAGATTTAAAAAGAAAAGAACATAAGAAGTCAGACCCAGGGAA